GTCATTATGGCCCGACCAACCATCAAGCGCCGCAAGACTGATAGAGGTGACGCTGGGAAGCGGAAGAAGAAGAACCTCGTCGCGAAGGGCTCGGCGAATAAGCAACGCCAAGTGTTGAAGCCTCTACAGAGAAGGGGAAGGGAGAGAGAGAGGAGTTGCCTGCTAAGTCCAGAGGGAAGGAGGACGAAATCCAACTGGAAGACTTCTTGGACTTTGGGGGAGAGGGGACGGAGGGAAGCGATGATGAGTCCATCCCCTCGGATGATGATGATGCCGCCTCTTCTGCTGGTACCGACATATCCTCCCTAGACTCAGAGGCTGAGGCGGCTTTTATGAAGAGTATTGATCAGCTTGGGAAGAGTGGGCGGAGGGTGGCTGAAGAGGAGGAGGAGGAGAAGTAATACACGTATTAGTGCTTCGTATGGCATTTCATCGCTGTACTGGTGGAGCTGTCTTTTTCAGGTCTTCGAGGAAATTCGATTTCTTGGATTCGTCTGGATTCCTACCAGAAGGGTCTGCAGCAGCGGCTGGGATGGAGAGTGAGGGAGGAGGTAACCTCCTTGGGGAGCTCTTGAAGATGGCTGAGGATGATAAGGGGAAGAAGAAGGATGAGGAGCAGCAACAGAAGGGTACGACTATTACGCACTGCGGAGGGAATACTAAGGGTTTTTGTCCAGCCCCGACTTCGAGTAAACTGCGAAAGCAATTGGGCCTTGTGAACTCCTCTACGGCTGGCGTGGATGATAATGATAACCTTCCGGAGTCGATGAGGCGTCGAGCAGATCGAGAGGTCCGTTACGACAGCGCTAAGAGCACAGCAGAGAAGGAGTGGATGCCCGCTGTCCATGATGCTAACAATGCTGCTGTGATAGACATTGCAGGAGAACAGAGGGCCAGGCTGGGGGCCACGCAGATCTCTAATACTGCTGTATTGTCGTCATCGTTCCGACCAGGTAAGGGGGGGACCAGGAAATCATCCAGTTGGAATTCCCCACGTATGGCTAGGAACACATTCTTCGATCAGTTCCTTAGGAAAATTTTCCTCGTTGTTGTCGAACCCTAGGGAACGTTATTTCCCAGAGCTAGATGGGTCCTTGGGGGAGTGGACTGTTTGGGTGATGTTGGTGTGTCCTTTGTAGAAAATGAACTGGAGAAGGCGATAGCAGCAGCGGTTAAGGAGAGTAATGTGTTTGCTAGTGGGGATAAGCAGACGACGGAAGATGGCCATCAGTTACCCTTTGGTGAGTGGGAGGAGGGGGGGAGGGACAGTAGTGGTTGTGGTGGCGGCAGGTCGAGAAGCGGAGCTGAAGAAGGCGGAGGAGAGGAATACGGTGGCGAGGTTGAAGAGGTTGATGTTCCAAGAGCAGAGGAAGAATGCTAGGCTGAATAAGATCAAGAGTAAAACGTGGCATAAGCTGCAGAAGAAGAGTCATGAAAGGGAGCAGGAGAAGTAGGGAAGGGGGGGAGGGGAGGTAGGCACGAGATAAACCTAATCACTGCATCTGTTGTTTCCACGACAACAAGTCCCTACCGCGTTAAATCCAAAACCTTCGTCTTCTCATCTCCACAATACTTATAGATAAGCTTTTGTGCCTCCCTACTCCCACTACTAACAATCGCTATCCTCGCCCCTCGCGCCTTCCACCTTTCCCAACACGAGCCAACATCAGAAAACATCGGAGCTCGCAGCCCGCCCGTTTCGTAAGACTCCCTCCAGATGAGCCCCTGAGCTGTCTTCAAGGCCGGCTCCTTCCTATCAGCTGCTATCCACTCCTTCATCACATCAGCCACCTCCTCCACAGACCCGTCCCACATCTCGGCCGGCAGCAGCTTCCTGACCTGAGCCGACTCCAACAATGCTCTCCATCTCCTCCCTCCCACCTGAGCTCCCTCCTGGTGATCCCAGTGGCTTGTCAACCACTCGAGCATCCTATCTCTAGCCAGTGGGAATAGAGTGTCTTTGACAAACCGTGATGGGAGTAGTAGTCCCTTCAAC